CTTAGGGCAGGGACCTGAAAGGGATGCAGTTCAAGGGAGCAGCATGTTGGGAGATAGCAAATTAACCTCAGATTTCAATTTTGTCAAGGATGATACAAGAACTAGTAGTGTCTCGGTGACTATGGTCTACTCAGAGCTCGGTCATCAGGTGTGGTCTGATTTCATAAGGTCTTCAGTGAGTTGGACCTGGATGGGGATTCTGGTTCTACCACTGTGCACTTTCTTTGCCCTATTTTCTCTTTTGAAAAATTGGGATAACACCCCTAGCAAAAATATAGTGGAGACCAATGTCTATAAAGTGCGCAGGAAGCACATCTAGCACTTAGCAGGTACTCAATAAATGCACATTACCTCTATCGAAACGGCCAACCTGTGTGGCAACTTCCTCACCTCAGTCCAGTCCAGGGAGGTCAGTCCAGTCCAGGGAGGTCAGCTCCAACAGGCACCCGGGAACACCAAGTAATAAACTGTGAAAAGTATACTTTGAAATGTATCACGTTCTACGCACATGTATAGGTATTATTATAGTTCAAGAGAAAGAGGGAACCCGCTGGTGTCTGAGAAGAAAACCCGTGAAGGGGGCACTACGAGGGGAACACAAACTAATAAAACATTCTTAGATGGCAATGACAATCACTAAAGTTGACACTTCCTGCAGTCTTTAGTTTAGAAACCACAGCTTCCCGAGGACGTCCCCCGTTCCAACAGGCACCTTCTGATAAAATCCTCTAGCTCAACTCAGGTATATCCCCACTATTGGGCCAGGGAGACCTGCGGATGGCGGGACGCGGCGTTCTTCAGGAGGGTGTGGATGTGGAGCTTGTCCGCTGGCAAGGCAGCAGAAGGTCAGGGAGACCGTAGTTAATCAATCAATAAACCAACAGTCCGATCAATCCACTTCCTGCAGTCGGGCCGGAGCCGGCGAGGGCCTAATCGATTTGGTGCGGGATTGTGAAGGAAAAACGGCGGTGATAGGCTGTCAATACATTTTTTGCGGTAAGGGTGAAGAGAGGCGTAGGCTGGGCGAGCTCGCAGGTGCCCCTGTGCTTCCTGGGCCTGGCAGAGGCGCGAGGAAACGTGGGCAGGCGCCGGCGTCCGGGAGGCGTGGGGTGGGGGGGCGAGTCCCTGCTTGCTGGTTAGCACCGTCCCGACCCCGGAAGGGCCCGGGGGCGCGCCCTGGGCGGCGGGGCGAGGGCCGGCGATGGCCGCCTCCCTTGTCCGCATAGCGGCCGCGCCTCGCGCAAGACCCGCCGATATAAGCAGCCGCGGGCCGCCGGCGCCTCACAGCACGCTGCCACGCCGACGCCGACCCCATTCTGCACGTCAGCCCGCCCGCGCCCACCATGGCTACAGTTCAGCAGCTGGAAGGAAGATGGCGCCTGGTGGATAGCAAAGGCTTTGATGAATACATGAAGGAGCTAGGTGAGGCACCCGACCTGGCAGCGCCTGCAACGTGGCGTGTTTGTGGCCGTCTGTCCTTCGGTCCCAGTCAGCGTGCCAGATTCCGGGGCAGGAGATGCTCGGCGACCTATCCCCAACCCCTCCCATCTTCCCCACCACGCGGCCGTTGGGTGCAGCGCGCGCAGCACCACGCGGGCAGGCGTCTAGGAGCAGGGAGCGTGCTCGCCTCCTGCCCGCCCGCGGGCCGCAAGATTCCGGAGGTAGTCCACCTCGTGATCCACCTACCTCTCTTATGCTTCTTTCCCCTCGCCCAAACAGCAGCCACTCTGCATTGCTTCCTGTCCTTTAGTGCGCGCACCCGTCACCTCACGCTGCACTTCTTTCGACCCCCTCCAGGCGACCCTCTATTTCCCTGTTTTCCTCCTTTACTCATCCTTCCCCTTCCTGCTACTATCCTGGCTCTTCCATTTACCCCATCGTGGCAGCACCCACTCCTCTTTCCCTCCCTGTCGCATCTTTTGTTCCTCTCTGGCGCGCAGGTTGCCCTCCCTTCTTGGGGACGCGGTGCTGGCGCGCAGTTTCCCGCAGAAATCCTGTAGACGGGTCTGAGCGGCGCTGCAGCTTCAACTTGTATGCCTCTGTCAGCCCCATCTCCCCCAGGTCCTCTGCTGGCCCTCAGCAGTTGAGCCGAACCCTTTGGATTGGCACCCCATGGAACACCAGGGCCCCCGAGAAGCGTGGCGCTGGCGGTGCAGACCTGCTGCTGGCACTGCCGGGCCGGGGCACCGCAGTGGGAGGGTGGCCTGTGGGAGGAGCGCAATGAGGCCGACTGTGCCTGGGGGTGGCCATGTGTTGCCATCCTGGTCTCTGCCTCTTGAGGGTGAGGGGGAAGAGGGCAGTGGGCTTTGCTGGAAAACCGTAACAGAAACTGCCTGGCCCTGCTGCGGCAAACTGCATGCAAGATGGGTGTGGCCCTGCGGAAAGCGTTCTGAGGGAGGAGAATCTCAGTAGTAAGATTCATTTCTCTCACTCAAAACAGTGCTTCATTATAAATTACTGTCCTTTTCTGTGCCAGTGACAGATTGCATGCTGATTGAGATAACTGGATAAATTGCAAACAAAAATGGACCTTTGTCACAGGCCACTAGGAAGTGAGATGGAGTTAGCATAGCATGGATCCTCTCTGGAAGGGAGCTTCCAGGCCTAAGGGACGGCTGGGACTTACAAGGTTGCTTCAGAAGCCGGTATCCACAAATGTTAACTGGTTGCTCGCTGGTGAAATAACTACTGTGGCCCTCTATTGATATCTTGTCGCCGTGGCACTTCGGAATCACTCCTTCAGTACCCTTTATCCAAGACAATGTGGTGTTAAGGCTGGTTTATGGTGAATCATAAGTGTATTTATGATACTATCAGTGAAGTAAGAAGGCAGTATTTTTCTTTTTCCTTGTAAACCTACATCAAGATGACTCTGGAAAAAGCGATTTACTGCACATGTCCAATAAATACAGTGTGTGTGTGTGTACAAGTTTAAGGCCCAGAGAACAAATTGTAGAAAGCAAATTGTGTGTAGGTATGGAGGGCTTGTTTCCAGGATTCTGGAGTCTTGAAGGTTGTCAAGACTCAGTTCATTAGGGAGCAGTCAGGAAGTGAACAGAGCAGAGCCCATTTATTTGTCCAAAGTGAGAGTAAATAATGACTCAATTAACAGCGTGTAAGGCACCAGCCCTGAGCTGGCCAAAGAGAAGGCTCCAAGGGCAACTTTAAAGCCTGGCTGAGAGTTCTTCATCAAGATAATCACCCTGCGTAGGTTGTAGTCTCATTTATGATGAAACAGTGATTTGGCCTGGATCTAAGGTTTCCTTATACATGTTAACTAACTCTAAGGGGAAAGAGAGAGATCCTAAATTACATGTTAACATTAAGGGGAAATTGATAGATCATAAATTAACATACAATTTAATATGGTATTTTATAAATTTCTATTGATTTATAAAGCTATGAAATATTTTTTATATTCAAAGGTAGGATTTTTTTTCCCCATTTGTTAGCATCAAGATTGTGCTGCTGACTTTTAAAAGATTGTGCTGTTTGAGTATCTCAGGATCGATTTCTAATTTGTATAGTCTACTAATCAAATATTTATCGAGAGCATTTATATGCCAGACTGTGTGCTGGAGTCATAGATTGTAATGGTTGGCAGAATCCAGTAAAAAGAAAAAGATTGAGCGAACTCCTGAATTTGCAATTTTGAATGCTTTATCTCCACTTTCTATCAACTGCTTTCAGTAAATAAAATTTGAAAGTCTGCATTTCTTCCCTAACTTTCTGAAAGCCAGCATAGCAGGGTGGTCAAGAGCTCAGATTTGAAGCCAGGGTGCCCAAGAGCTCAGATTTGAAGCCAGGGTGCCCGTGCTCTTGATTCCCAGCTCCATCACTGTCTAGTTGAACGATCTTGGGCAAGTTACTTCAGTGCCTCGCTTTCTCATCAGTAAAATGGAGACAGTAACACTCTGCCTTTTACAGGCTGTTGTAAGGCTACCTGAGTTTCCATAATATGAAAGTGCTGGCCTCCATACCCATGGGATAATGTGGTTACATATAGTTATCAATGACAAATAAGTGAAAATATGCCTGCACAAAGCATTAAACAATGGAAATTCCATTGCTTTATCATGTAAATGAAACTTTGGTCTTCCCTGTTGTCTTAACCATGGACTCTAACATTTAAGATGGAAATAGTTGCGAAAAATGGCAGCAACGGCCAAGCCAGACGATATTTTTGGATGGCAAAAACTACACCATAACAACGGGAGAGACACCTTTGAAAACAACCAACCAGTTTTCTGTGTAACCCTGGGAGAGAAATTGAAGAAACCCACAGCTGATGGCAGAAAAACTCAGGTCAGTCATGACATGTTTGAAATCGCAGAAGCTTCTAGAATGATAGGCTGTATCAATAACATTTTACTGTTTATAGGCAAGAACTTAATGAAAAAAGTACATGAATTGAGTTTTGTCACATTAAGCAAAAGTATCAAACTTCAATCGTAGAATCTGCGCATCGCTTATTATAAGCTACA